AGCTTCTCCACCCGCTCCAGCACCTTCTCCACCAGCTACCAGTCCCTGGGCTCCATCCAGGCGTCCGGCCACCGGGCCCGGCCGGCCAGCAGCACCGCCAGCGTCTATGAAGGCGCCGGGGGCTCGGGCTCCCGCATTTCCGTGTCCCGCTCCACCAACTTCCGGAGCGGCTGGGGGTCTGGGAGCTTGGCCGCGGGGATGGCTGCGCGCCTGGCGGGAACAGGGAACATCCAGGGCGGGAAGGAGACCATGCAAGACCTGAACGACCGCCTGGCCTCCTACCTGGACAGAGTGAGGAGCCTGGAGAGTGAAAATCGGAAGCTGGATAGCAAAATCNAGGTTCTGGCCATTCAAACACAGAAGTGCCTGCTTTGAATGGCTGACCTTTTAGGGGTCCTCGCCTTCCAAGCCTCCAGCTATGTTTAAGTTGGGGATTTAGGTCTTGGCTGGGGGGCAAAAAATTAATAGTAATGAGAAAGGAAAAGAAACAGACTGTAGTGCCTGATGCATCCAACATAACTAGGCCAGCTGCACACTGTCTTCTGGCAGGGCCCTTGTATCCAGGTGGTTCAATTACAGGCAGCCCCTAGTGGGCAGCAACGGAGGAGATGGATGCTTCGAGGAAATGTAGCATCAGGTGGTGACTTGCCTATTTCCATGCCTCCAACAACAAACTGAATTATGGAAAGGTGTTGTGCAAACTGTAGATAGCTGTTCTGCCCATGTGACCTGTTAATACAATTCCTCTGATCCTGCAGACCAAAAAGGAAAACCACTTGGAGCAATTCCTAGCAGAAGACTCCATGTCTTGCCTTGCTTCTCTTTTACACTTTCTTAAGGATAAAAAAGGTTTCTTTTGGTTGAGTTGGCCTTGGCTGCAGGTACGGGGGTCTTCAAATGTGCCCATTTTCGATATATCATCCTGTCTGGATTAGCAGAAAGAACAAAGAACAAAGACTCAGCTTGGGTATTTTGGTCTAATTCTACATGACAGACTGACAGAAGCTTGAGGGAAGAATTAAGAAATTAAGGCTGGGCTTTTTTGTTGTTCTTGTGGTTTTAGAGGCACTGAGAGCCTGGGGTAGGACACAGGTGCTGCTTTCAATTTTAATCAGAATGCAGGGGAGTCTTGCCTGTGTACGTGGCAGATGCACGAACTATATTTGGCTGGCCCAGGCCCTGAAAGGGCTGGGGAAAGGACCCTGAAAGACAATTCTGAGGCTGTGAATGGGGTGAGCAATCACAACCTAATTAATCCCCCCCCAGACTTAAACTGAAGTTCCCTTTAAATTGACTGAGACGTGCTCTGTCAATAGCAAGTGAAATGTGTGTCTGCACATAAATGGCATGCAGAGGACATTAAAGAGGTCTGAATACTCTGTGGTGCCTGTAATTATGATACATGCAATACAGCACTATGCTAATCCCCCCTCCAGCAAGAGTGTTGGTTTTGCCCCCAGTTGTGGCAGTCCTGTATGCCCTGTGCACAACTTTTGCCCGAGTTGCACTTTTATGTTGAAAAACCCAAGAGCAGCTGACACTTGGATGGCAAGGCAGATGGTGTCACCCTCAAGGAGACTTCAAGAATGGCTCCACGAGCAAAGGCCAGGCAGATAAAGTGATATCCATCTCCACTCTATAGTGAGTTGAACAAGTGGCAAGTGGAAGCTGCACACAAAGCATTTATTGGAGAGGGACAGGAGGTCGCTGAAGTTACAGACTACTTAAATTAAAGCAGAAGGACCCTCTGCACTTCCAGGAAGCTTTTCTGCTCAAGCTGAATCAACTAGGGAATCCAGAAGGAAGTGAAGCGTAGGGGAAAGCTCCTCAAGCAACTTCACCGGGCAGCTGGTGAGGAAGGGAGCCTTTTCTTCATGGAAAGAGGAAGTTTCTCCATTAGCTGAAAAGAAACACACGAGTCAGAAGAACAGATGAGAGAAATCGGTAAAGATATCACAGTAGGATTAAGGGGAAGGCAGATATCACATGGGAAAAAAATGTGGCCTTTGGAACAAGACAGTTTGGGGTTTTAAACCCCTGCTCCATAGTTGTTAGCTGTGAGACCTTGTGCAAATGACTTCAGCTCTCTGAGGCCTTGTTTCCTTTCTATAAAATGGGGATAATGACCTAGTCCTGGTAGGGTTTTGGGAAGATAGAGAATTTACGACTGTGCTGGCACCTAGCAGGCACTTGCTAAATGGAATACTTATATCTTTGAGATAAATTCAGCCTAACTCAGTACTCTTTGTGTTTATTTAAAATGACTTTGTGTATGTATTCAGACATTCATAAGTATTTGAAAAAATTAGCTTTGTTAGGAATATCTGGCTTTCATTATCAACAGAAATTGATCCAATAAAAAGACAGGTGGAAAGGAGCTGGATGACGTTTTCCATTGGAAAGGAGGGAGGGGTTAGGTCACTTTCATGTGGCCCTTTTGCCTTCAGGAGAAAGAGATGTCACACTCTTTGAGAGAGCCAGAGACCTGCCTCCACCTCCTGTGTGGCCGTGGACAAAACCTCTTCTGCTCTGGGCCTTTGTATTCTCTCTTGAATCATGAGGGGTTGAACTATGTGACTGATAAGTTGTCTCTCAGAGCTGCTATTCCTTATTCAATGTATGCCACAGAAGGGACCTTGGAGGAAAACATGAAGATACAGAACTATGATAAAAAATAAAGGCATGGATTTCTGGAAAGAGTTGGCAGGGAAGCTAAGTCTGAGGCTGATGTATATGCTTCTGGAATCCATTTCTATTAAAAAAGACTGCATATATACTAATATATTCATATGTATGTGTGTGTGTCTGATTATGGCAGACTCTGTGGCTGGCCAACCTGCCATCTCGACTGCTTGTCTGCCTCCACTGTGAAGCTTGGAAAAGCTAAAGAGTTGCTTTCCAGCATTCCTCGCAGGTAGGTATGGCCACATGAGCAGGTTCTGGTCAATGAGGTATAAGGGGAAGCCCCCTGGAGGCCTTCTCAAAACGCTTCCCTTCACTGGTAAAAGGAGAGAGCCGTTCAAGGAAAAACCTGTTTGCTTCTGCCTTTTCTCTCCCCTTTCTTCTGGCCATGAATGAGGATGCAATGTCTGGAGCTGTGGCAGATGTTTGGCAACCATGGGGTGACAAAGACAAAGACAAAAAGTCAACGTATCATGGCATGTTAGAAAGATGAAAAGAGCCTGGATCCTTAATGAAATCATTGAGCAGCCAAGATCACCTATTTCTGGGAATCTCAAGTAAATACGGTTCCAGTCCTTGCTACTCAAAATGTGGTCCGTTGGCCTGCAGTATAGTTATCACCTGAGAGCTTTCTAGAAATGATGGATCTTGGGCTCCACCCCAGACCTACTGTATTTTAAAAAGACACCCGGGTGTTTTGGGTGCACAATAATGTTTCAGGAACCCTGGTTTTTAGCCCTATTCATTAGGTTCTATTGCATGCAGCTGAAGCATTCCTAGCAGCTACTGTGTCCTAGGTTTGTATATGTGTGAATATGTGTGTATATATGTGTATGAATATATGCACTTATATGTATATATACACATATAATATATATTTGCATATGACTATATATATTATTCGTAGGTAAGTAGAAAAATCCTGAAAGGATGCAACTAGGCTGTGGGAATGGGTGCGTGGTGGTGGGGGGGTGGGGGTTTGGGGTGATTTCTCCGTTTTTATCTTGATTACTTCTATAGTGTTTGGAAAAAAGTTATTACTATTTTGGCAGCTGGCCAGTATGGGGATCTGAACCTTGACCTTGGTGTTGGAAAAAAGTAATTATTTAAGAACCTATGAAAATGCATTCCTTTACCACTAGAGAGGGCCGGGGCCTACCCGCTCTCCTCCCTGTCCAGCAGGGCGTGGTAGGAGGCGACGTCCTTCTGCAGCTGGCCCTTGCGCGCCAGCAGATGCGCGCGCTCCTGCTGCTGCTGCTCGGCCTCGGCGCGGATCTCGCTGAGCTCGGCCTCCAGCCTGCTCACCACTGCGCCCAGGTTCTGGAGCTCCATGTCATGCCAGTGCTTGGCATCGTGCAAGGTGTTTTCCAGACCTCGTTTCTGGAGAAAAGAACAAACTTGGTCCAAACCCAAGGCCGACAGGCTGGACTGTGAAGACGGAGGTGTGCAGAGCAGTGGGCAGGGCTGCGGTGAGCCTGGTCTGCCCTTTCCTTTCGGGACAGGGACAGGGACCTTGCCAGTTATGTGTACTGATGGGGGCCTGTCTTACGTGGCTGGGGGGTGGGGGAGATAAGGAATCCTCCTCAGGGGGGAGTCTCTGGTTTAGTCTGATTCAGTGGCGTTTTTGATGGGAGGGAGGGTGGGAGAGGAAAGGAAGGAAGGGGGCTGGAGAGAAGTGGGAGACACGCAGAGGCAGTTTGCAGGTGTTTCTTCAAGTACCTGGCTCTCCTGGGCTGCCTTGAGCCTTTCTCATGACTTCTTCCCCACTGGGGAGCTCTCTCCCATCCATTGCTGAAACCCCATCTGTGTTTGGCTAAGACGCTGTCTCCTGCAGCACTTTCCCAGACCACTATAGTTAGAATGGCGGTCTCCCGCCTTTACGTACTCAGCATTTTCTCTTTAGTGTTTTAGTAGCTCATCTCTGCTAATCCCTCTTCCTCTGCTGACCTTTCACTGTGGGTCCCCACCGGCCAGCCCTGAGCCCATTTCTGTCTGAGCTGTGCGTGCTGGCTCTGCACTGGTTGGTCTCCACCAACACTCAGGACTCTAATGGTCGTCGCCAGGCTAGTGATGCTTGCTTGCATGGGTGCTGCCAGCACAGACCTCTCCCCCGGTGGCCATGGACCTGCTGCTGAACTTGTTGCCGAAAATATATACTCAGACCTCAAATCAAGGTGTTGAGAATGGAGCCCCTGGCCGCCTTCTGGGCCTGCTGGCCCGTCCTCTTCTGTGCTTCAGTGGTGGACCCACGTGAGCTAGAACTGGGGAAGGACGTGCCCCTGCACTTCTTCCTTCCCTTCCCTCCCCTTCCCTTCTGCAGTCATCACAGCCTCTTGTATATTCTGAATCCTGCCTCTTGTACTTCCTGAGAAGTTTTCACATTTGTGCCCTCCTCTCCTCTCTAGCCACCATGGCCTGGGGTTGGACGCTTGTCACCTCTCACCTTGGGGTCACCTCAGTGACCTCCTGCTCATCTCCCGGCCTCTAGTCCCTCCTTTTCCTGAGTTCCCCACACAGCAGCCACAGTGCTCTGTCTAAAATCCAAATCCGGCCTTGTATGTCCTCTGCTTAAAACGCTTCGGTAGCTCCCCAGGTTCCCGGACATGGCACACACAACGGGCCCAGTAGTGTTCCATCTTCACTCCCACCCCCACTTGACGGCAGCATCAGTACTTCTAGTCTTGGGCTTCATTGGGTCCATGCTGTTTCCCGCACCCGCACCTTCCTCCTCATCCCTTCCAGTATCCTCACCAGGCTCACTCCTACTCATCCCCAAGTCCAAGTGGCTCGGGGGTCGCGTCCCCCAGAAAGCCATCCTTGACACTCCTCCTCCCCTCCAAGCTGGGTTAGGGGCCCTTCTGTGTTTCTGTGGCTACCCAAGCACATGTATGCCCTTGAACTTACCGGAGTGGATTAAGCTTTCTTAGGGGCGTGTCTCTTCCACTGGATGGTGAGCTCCTTGAAGGAAGGAACCAAGTCTCTGTAACCCCAGTGCACAAGACAGGGCCTGGCACAGAGTAGTGCTTGGTGTGTGTAGGTTGCTCCAGATGACAGACTTGTGTTCTGGTTACACTGATCGCCCTGCCTATCTGTCTCCTCATGAGACTGGAAACCTCTTTCTTTGCATCTTACCATATACCATGCCCTGAAAACTGCATTGTTGACTAATAAACACCTTTTCAAAACGTTGTGCATCTATTTAACATTTTTTAAGAGTATTAATTATGGTGGACCTATAATTTAGCATATGGCTTTTTTATATAACACATACATAAATATCTTTCTAAATTGGGTTGAGTCAAATCTCGATAAAACAAGTTTCTGTATCCAGCCCTCCAGATGAAGATTTTTTTGTTTTTCCTTTTTGTCTTTTTTTTCATGACCGGTAACGGGATCGCAACCCTCGGTGTCGCACCCATACCGCGACCGGCAATGGGATCGCAACCCTTGGTGTCGTGCCCGCACCGCGCTCAACCAGTGAGCGGACCGGTCTCTATATGGGATCCGAACCCTCGGCGGAAGCGCCGCCACTCTACCAAGTGTGCCACCGGGCCGGCCCCAGATGAAGATTTTTGACCCTTTTGACCACTGTGGCTGAAATGGAAGATTCTTGGTCATGATGCCATTTGGATTCATGGCTGCTGTTAAACAGGAACCTCTCTATTATCTTATTTAGATCTTTATTCCATAGGATATGAAAATGTTGAGTCAGATTCCCATTGTACATATATTTATAGGGAGAAAATGTGATCACTAGAAAATAAATCTAGACCACTGTCTGGCCTAGGGCTATTCATTGACTGGTGGGATCTGAAAGCCCCTCTACAGCAATGAGGATGAAGAAAACGTCACCTGGACTTTGAGAAACATTTGTTCCAACTTCTCCGAGTTTTCTCCCTTGGTTCACGCAGGAAATTGTTTAGTTTGTGAGTAGTAGTTGTTGACATTGGATCTGTAATGCCTGTGATTTGGAAAAACCCTTCATAGAATCACGGTTGGATCATCTATCTACAGTTTTTGCTCCATGTGTGAGGTAAGTTCTCTATGTGGCCTGAGGTTTTTCCTTGGTGACTTAGGACCCACTGCCCAAGGGGCAGTCATGGGAACCCCTTTCAAAGGTCCCATGTGTCTTCCATCCCACTCAGAGTCCAAGTCCAGCCTCCCCACCTAAGTCCCTGACATTCTGGCAGAAAGAGAGGCTGCGTGGTTCTCCCACAGATGCTTCATGTTGTGTGACCCCCTCCCATCCAGAGCCCTCTGGTTCCTGCGGTTCTATCAGCTCCTCCACAGAAGTCACATTAACTCCTTGGGGACAAAGACCATGTCTAGTTAGTTTTATGTCCCCAAAGTATGTGGTACGGGGCCCAGAACATAATAAAAAGTGATGCCAATGGTAAGAAGAGCATGCTCGCATGCATCCTCTCACCGGATCTCGTAGAGACACTGAGAAGTGGGATGATTGTGACTGTCATCCCTATTTTGCAGAAGAGGAAAGTGGTCTTAGGATTTGCCCATTTACACAAGTGATAAATGGAAGAGCTGAGCCCTTCTGACTCTTGATTTTTCTCCCGTCAGATCCTTTCCTCACATCCTCTTGCCCTGACCCAGATCCTGTCATGGGCCTCACTGGACCGCAGACCATCCCAGATGCACAAGGATTACATGGAGCAACCTCTTCCTACACTCCAATTTGCACCAGCAGAGCTGTGGTGAGGGCAGTACAAACGACCCCATGGAGGGGCATTTAGGAGGAGCTGTGCTTGACACCCTAATAGAAACTCCGTCCATCCCAGAGATCTGAGGGTAAATTGCTGCATTATTAATAATTACTTTAATAATATTAGTGAGTCTGAGGAGCTCAATAGGTGTCTTAGGTTGGGGGTCTCCAGAAGCAGAGCCTGAGACAGGGATACTGAAGCTTGTGAATAATTAAGGGATTGTGCTCAGGCCAAGGGGGAGCGAGGACGGCAGGACAGGACAGGGAAGGTGCTAAGCAAGGATGTGGTCTTGGCTGGAATCTGGCTGCAGCCTGACCCATGCAGAGCTATGGTGTGGGACTTACACCATTCCACTTTGAAGCAAGTGGGCTGGGCATTCAAGCCCCCTGTCGGTCAGTCACTAGCTGAGGGCTGGGCTGGGGTTGCTAACCTCCCTGGCCAGGTGTCTTCTGTTTGGCCAAGGGCAGTTCTTTGGCGAAGCGGGGCAGCAGAGAAGGGGCAGCTGCGGGCATTAGCAGCCGACATTCACGGCAGCTGCCTGGAAAGGATGTCTTTGGAGGGCTCTACAGCATCTACCGCATGATCCTTGAGAGTCAGAGCTATTTCAGGCCTCAAAACTCATATGATGTGAGATGGGAATCCCTTGCAAACTATGACCTGTGCGAGTAGCATTTGACAGGGGAGAGTTAAAATTAACACGAGAAATGCCAGGGCCCTGCTTGGCCCACTCACCAGGGCCCGCAAGGATTCCGTCTCAGCCTGGAGGCTCTGGACTTGGCACGACGTGTTGTGTAACTCCACCCTGAGGGTAGCAGCCAGCTTCTCTTCCTGGGTCTGGGCCATGCGGGCCACCTCCTCCTGTTGCTGTGGAGAGTCAGGTCTCAGTGTGAGCAGGGACGAAGCAAGTCGCAGCCTGTCCTTCCTTCTCAGCCCTTCTAATTGCCACGAGAGGAAGCTTAGTGCCAGATGCTAAAGTCCCCCTTCTCTACAGTCCCCCTCACCAACATGTATACAAAATTTATTTAGTTTGAACATGGAATGCCTGCAAATGAAATAAAATTCAAAAGATTTCCTAAAGAATATAGAGTAGGAAGTCTCCTTTTCTCCCTGGGTCCTAATTACCCGTTTCTCCTGTTTCCAGTTTCTTATACCTCCTTCCAGAAATATTTTGTATATTTATAAATAAATATGTATAATCCCCCCTTGCTTTGGTACTTAATATAGCTTAGAAATTATTCTATATCAGTATATAAAGATCGAGTACATTCTTTTCAGTGGCTGCCCCGTATTGCCTTGTTTGTAAGTCATGTAATTTATTTGGAAATCCCTGCTGATGGACACTTCGGTTGTTTCCAGTCTTTTCCAATCACAAATGGTGGTACAAAAAGTAAACTTACAGCCCTCATTTTGCACACAAGGGAGTCTTTGAGGGGTAATTCCTGTAGTAGAACTGCTGCTTTAAAAGGGTATGTATTTGTGATTTTGGTGAATGTTGCCTGATTGCCCCTCAGAGATTCATAACCCCTGTAAGATGGTGCCAGTTGCCCCAAACCTTCCTCCACCAAGGAGTTATCCAACCTGATCTCTGCCAACCTGATAGTCCCTGTTTCCTTGTAAAAACCAGTCTAGCCACAAGTGGAATACAAGGGGAAGGTCTGCATTTTGAAACTTCTGTCCAGAGCAAGCTGGATAGATTCTGACTCCTCCCCATGTGGGGACAAGGTAAAAAATGAGAGCTCACGCTTATTTTCTTCAATGCATTCTGATGGAATTGTCAATGATGTAGGAGAAAAAGCTGCTTCTCCTCCTAGGTTACTGGCTTTCTGGAATTACCATTTTTACCACATATGATACTTATTTATGGAATAATGCAAATCCACTGTCTAAGAAACCCCAACTCCGGAGGCTCACATCTCAGTAGTGGTTCCTCCAATTCTTGCTGCTTGAAGGCTGTCGAGAGCTCCAGGGAGTGACCACTGAAGGCTTGGGAGCAGCTGGAGGAGAACGAAGCCAGGGCCCACTGGGCCCATGTCTGGGTGTCCCTGGGCCATCATTTGGCCTCTCAGCCTCAGCCCCCACCCACAGAATGCAGAGGACAGTGAGTGGAGAAATAATAAGATGACACCCTCCCCGGGTCACTATGGGGCTTCCCTCAGTTTGTTCATGTGGAAGCTTTTAGAAGCTTAAAAGCATGAAAAGGTTGGCCTTATATATTTTCTATATGTGAAAAGTAACAGTTGCTGAGTTGAATACTACTAAAATAATTAATATGTATCAGGCACTGACTCTGTGCTGAGCACCATGTTAACAGCTTTAAGTTCATTATCTCACTTAACCCTTACAACCCTACGAAGCAAATGTCGTTATTATCCGCATTTTACATGAAAAAACTGAGGCACAGAAAGGTTGAGTTATTTGCTCAAGATCATGTGACCTATGAGGACAGGACAAGGATTCAGGCTCAGTAGAAGACCCCAGAGCTGTTCTCTTAGCCAGTGTTTCATGCTGCCACCTCCACTGACCCATCAGTTTAAGGCCCCTGAAATTGGAAGTATCTTCCTCCAAATTTAGGTGGGTCACTCTGAAGTATTCCTCTTATCTTCCAAGTTCTCCTTGTGATCAGTACTCCGATTCTTTCCCTCTCTTTGGGGACTGGGGTCCTGACCAGATGGGCTATGTGGGTGGGAGGGAGGCAGGAGAGGGGGTGTCCTGGAATGCACATAGAGCCCGGCAAGGTAGCTACACAGAGGGGCCAGGAGCAGCGCCGAGCTGGGGCTGGCTCCTCACAGCTCTCAGGAGCTGATTGTTAAATTTTCAGGAATTTTGTAAGCTGGTTGTTAAAAATAGCCACCATTGAAAATTAAATTATATCAAAAAAAGAAAAAGAAAATTAAATTATATCACCTTATAATACATTATATTAAAATGATAAGTACTTAAAACACATCATTTATTAGTTACTTTATCATTGTCTATGCTATTGAGGTTATTTACATGTATGGTATGTGTGTGGTGGAAATAGCATATGATGAATAGTGTGCTACTAGACATCTATCTCTTCCTGACTCTGCACTCATTTACATCAGGCTACTAGTCTGAAATCAGTCATAGTGAGAACATTTACACCATGGAAATTGGCAAACACTACAAATCAGTGATTGACTTATTGTTTTGTTGATTGTCTAGACTTAAGCAAGGGATGCAAAAAATGTTAATAATGCAGATTAAACTTAAAAGTATGTTGTGTCTGTAGTTGTTGCATTGTGAATAGTACAAAAAAGAGAGAAAATATTCTTCCAATATTTAAAAATACTGATTCATCAGTTACTAACATCATTGATGAATGAGCTCATTAAGGTCAACAAAAACAATTTTCCTTCATCAATGATGTGAGTGACTTTTTGCTTAATCAGAAATTAGTAATCAAGCATTTTTTTTTTTTTTAAAGATGACCGGTAAGGGGATCTCAACCCTTGGCTTGGTGTTGTCAGCACCATGCTCAGCCAGTGAGCAAACTGGCCATCCCTATACAGGATCTGAACCCATGGCCTTGGTGTTATCAGCACCGCACTCTCCCGAGTGAGCCACAGGCCGGCCTGTAATCAAGCATTTTTTGTAGTCTGACTTTGTGACACTATTGTTGATGATAGAATTATGAAAATGGATGGTGGATTTCGCAAGAAATAGCAAGTAACACTGAAGCTAGAGGTGTAATTGAAATAGTAAAGTAAGTATTTTATCTTAAAATTTATGTTATTAGTAAAATTATATAAATAAAAAAAATCAACAGAAATTGTTACATTACCCTTAAGTGGTACTGTGAATTTGACGGGCACATACATACAGACCATACAGTTTTCCCAGACAGCAGCTATGAAATTTTTATCATCACACCGTGAAAAGCCAGGGAATGAGGGGGAGCCTAGTCCTATGGAGAGCAGGTTTCAAAGCCTCGGTGGACAGGTCTGGTATAAAGCTGCTGGCCAAGGCCACAGCCACAGTCCCCCACGAGATCTGTCCCTTTTCGCAACCCAGTGAGTGGCTTCAGTGGTACCCACTGGTCTTCAGAGGGATGAAACCCCATGTCTGAGTTTCATTAGCAGAAATACTGCACCCAAGTGTTTCCTAAACATTCTTGGATCACCAGCATGGTTTTTCACACTGAGTACTAATTCATGCTATTTTTATTTAAACTAATTCACTTTTTCTTCGTAAATAAATATGTTTAAAATGGAAACTGTAGGTTAGTTCTCAAACTTCAATGTGCATCGCATCATCTGGAGATCTTGTGAAAATGCAGGAGACCTTGAGGGGGGCCCAGGTGTCTGCATTTCCAGCTCCCAGGTGATGTCTGGTCCATGGAAGCAAAGTTCTAGATTGCTACAGAATCTAATAAGACAATATCACTTGCCACAGATAGAAGATAACTAAGAAATTAATAAAATTATAACAAACCAATGTTATTAAATTCTAGCGACCATTGCCTTCTAAGCTGCCAAGTCCCAAAGACTGCTTTCTCTCTGCTGAAAGGTGAGATTAATAAGGATAGCACAGGTGTGAAAGACCTGCCAGCACCATACACTTTCTCCTAGTTTAATTAAAATTAAAAGAGAAAAAGAAATGAATTTGATCACTATGAGTTTCAATGTCATTTAATACTGTGTCCCATGCCTTCTCAAATCATCTTGCTACAAGTGATACTTGCCAGTTAATTGCTTTAACACACCTAAAAGGATTACACATTCTTCTCCAATGGCTTTTTAGATTTATGCTTTCTGGTTATTATAATAACTCTGTTTCTGTTTCCATTTCAATCCAATGCCTCCAGATTTCTCCTCACGACCAAATGGCAGATGTGTGACCCTAGGCCTTGAGGACAGGAAGGTAGGACTATGTTCCATTGCTTGGTGCAGTTGCTGGGGTATGTAATGAGACTCAAATAAGGCTTTGAAACCAGCTTGGCTCCACTGTGTAGGAGCTGAGCTGCCCATATCTGCACTCCATCTACATTATATTTCTAGGGCAGGAGAATGTGTGGATATCTTGAAATATGATAAAGATTTTCTTTTTTTTTTTTTCCTTTTTGTCTTTTTTTTTTCGTGTCCGGCAACAGGATCGCAACCCTTGGTGCTGCGCCCGCACCTCGCTCAGCCAGTGAGCAGGAACCGGTCTGTATGTGGGATCCGAACCCTCGGCGGGAGCACCGCCGCACTCCCAAGCGGGGCACTGTAGCAGTGTGCCACCGGGCCAGCCCAAGGTTTTCAAATTTCAAAAATCTTAAATTAAATATGCATGTTATTGCATGTGAAGGAAAAAAAAGAGAGAAGAAAAGCAGCATGCTTTTAGGTCATAATTAAGTATTTAAGAGTCTGATTATTGGAGATATAGATGGTGGGATAGGCGGAGGGAGCAAAAAAGGGCTATCTCCACACCTGACCCACTTTGCTGATTAGCATTGCCATTCCTAAAAACACCCTTGGCAATGACCTGGAATTGGAAGAACTGCCACCTTGTAGTGTGAGGGACGGTGAGTGGTTAGGAGGAGGTGGAGTGTGGACAGAGAGTGATGGTGCTCCCTGATGTTAGAAATAGCAGGTGCATTCTTAGCAGATCATGGAACCAGGTGAGCGTTCAGGGGTGGGAATGTGTCTCCTGCCTTGCCCTAAGCAGTTGCCGTGCAGGTTTAAGCAAGTCATTAGAGCTCCCTGGTTTTTGCAGCTGGTGAACAACGAACTGTTTTATAACAGCATTGTTCTGCCGCAGAGTATACAGCTCCCTGCCTTGGCTCTTAAGCACTTTTCAGATTTCGTGAGATCATATTAACCTCATTGTGCTCACTATCATGGAGAGAGGGAATGCACTGG